AATCCAGCATCCCTGCCCTATCTGTGCACTATAATTTGTGTCTGTCTCTCACTACTGTACTGTACATATACTTATAAAGGACATTACTCCTCTTCCTTCCAGAAGAATCTGATAGCCTTTCCTTAACTCCCTTTTATCTTCTCAGAAAAAATCGATTGATTTCACTGTCCTTTATGAAGCCATCTTTGCGTGACAGTGCGAAGCTCTGATTCAGCTACTCCACGGTAGCTGACTACTTTTTTTTTTCTGACTACTCCACGGATTCCTTTCATGGTTTCTGTTTGTGCCTCTTAATAATAGGTAAGTGAAGAACTGTCTCCTCAGGGGTTGTTTTGGTTTACAGGTTGAATATCCCTCTTAGCTTTTATGCCTGTAATTATTTGAAAAGTAGATACTATCACTTACTGTTCCAAATATTAGAGTGGTGGCTTTATCTCACCTTTTTTCTTTAAGTAATTTCCAGGGTTTAGTTAAAAAAAAAAAAACTGGGGTGCCTGGGTGGCTCAATGGGTCAAGCCTCTGCCTTCGGCTCAGGTCATGATCTCACGGTCCTGGGATCAAGCCCCACATCGGGCTCTCTGCTTGGCAGGAAGCCTGCTTCCCTTCCTCTCTCTCTGCCTGCCTCTCTGCCTACTTGTGATCTCTCTCTGTCAAATAAACAAATAAACTCTTAAAAAAAAAAAAAAAAAAACACTGGCCGGACTAATCTTCAAAAATTCCTGTCAGGGCACCTGGGTGGCTCAGTCAGTTGGGCATTGGACTCTTGGTTTCAGCTCAGGTTGTGATCTCTTGGGTCATGGGACCGAGCCCTATGTTGGGTTCTGTACTCAGTGTGGAGCCTGAGTGAAGATTCTCTCCCTCTGCCCCTCCCTCTACTCTCTCTCTTTTTCTCTCTCTAAAATAAATGAATAAATCTTAAAAAAAAATAATTAAAAAAAACCCCGCTGTCATTGTGGCATTCTCATAAGAAAGCCACCAGCATCTGTCCACTCACCAGACATTCATCAGGCATATAATGTGTGCGAGATACTGTGCCAGGAATTGAGGGCTCAGAGGTTAAAGACTTTAGTCTCTAATCTCCGGAAGCTCAGAGGCTTCTGGTGTGATGTGACGTGATGTGATGTGATGTGATGGGTCAATGCAGACACAGCATGGGAGCAGTGGTGAAGAGGGAGCTCTGAGGCTGGGTTTAATCCTGGCTCTGTCACATACTGGCTCTGCAGCCTTGCACGAATGTCTTAATCTCTTGAAGCCAGCACTGACCAGTAGAAATAAAATCCAACCCGCATGTGTAATTTTAAATTTTCTGGTAGTCAGGCTTAAGAAAACTAATGAAAAAGAGGTACAATTAATTTTAAGAATATCTTTGATTGAATCTCAGATGCCTAAAACACTTTAATGATTAATCAATATAAAACTTATTAGTGAGATATTTGCCCTTTCTTTCTTGACTCTTCAAAATCTGGTGTGTAGTTTACACTCGCAGCACACCTCAGTTTGGTGCAGGCATATTTCTAGTGCACAGCAGCTTCATGGGGCTGGAGGTTACCGCGTGGGACTGTACAATTTTATGTCCCTCTTCCTCACTCCTAAAATGAAGATAATAACAGCTTCTACCTGCTGGAGTTCCAGTAGGGATTAGTGATTAAATATGTGTAAAGTACTTAGAACAGTGATGGTTCTAAGCATGACAAGCATTTATTTAATATTAGCTGTTATTATTTATAGGAACAATTATTTTATTATTATAGAGGTGATGAGAATATAGATAAGGAGCTTAGAGTGGGTGATGTTCGAACTGAATCCTGAAGAGTGAGCAGGAATTAGCTCAGCTATCAGCAGGTGGTAGACGGGGAGTTGTAGATAAAAGGTCAGCATGTGCCGGGAGGCGTGAGAAGTGTGATAAATGACTAGGAAGTAAACCCAGTGTGGTGGGATGTCAGGCGTGTGTGAGTGACAAACGGTGAGGCTGGGCAGGCAATGGATCAAAACGTTAAGGACCTGTATCTGAAAAGTATGAGAAGAATTTAAGTATTGGGGGGAAAAAATAGCGCTATAAGTGGTACTGAGGATTGGAAAGAGGCCAAATGGGGGGCTTCCCCTCACGTCGCACAGATAGTCAGTCGAAGGCTGGGATTAAAACTCGGGATTTTCTGTGTCTTTAATCATTATCATCTGCTCCGTCTTTTTCCCAGGCCAGTAGAGCTGTAGCCTGGACTCTGGAATTCCAGCTCGTAACTTGAGGCATGTGACTTCAACACTCTGAACCTCTCCCAAAATGAAGATTCTGTTTCCACCTCCTGGGCTTGTTAGGAGGATTAACCATACCAATATGGTGAGTCGGCTTGGCATAAACTCACTAAGTATTAACCCCACACCCATACAAGTCATTCACGTTTCCTTCCTCCAAGACATGGAACACCAACTCTGGAGACGCACATATGCACACAGGACGTAATGGGTAAACAGTGTAATAAGGCACTGCTTTTAAAGACTAGAATTAGAAGTTAAAACAGTACAGTAAATACTGTGGGAGACCAGGAAAATAAGAGTTAGGAATGTCATGGGACTAGTGTAATTTTAGTGGGACTCTGAGATATGGTCAAGAATTAGAAGGGCAGGGCGCCTGGGTGGCTCAGTGGGTTAAGCCTCTGCCTTTGGCTCAGGTCATGATCCCAGAGTCCTGGGATCGAGCCCCGCATCGGGCTCTCTGCTCAGCAGGGAGCCTGCTTCCCTTCCTCTCTCTGCCTGCCTCTCTGCCTACTTATGATCTCTGTCTGTCAAATAAATAAATAAAATCTTTAAAAAGAAAAAAAGAATTAGAAGGGCAGAATAAGGAAGGCAAGAAGGACTTTGGGGGCAGGAGAAGCAATAATAAACTAGTGAGTGAGAAATGAATGTCGAATGTTAAAATGATTAATTCCTCGTGCTTAATGCTTATTTCATGCTCTGATCTAGGGTTTGCACTGAAAACAAGTTTAAGCAAAAATTTGCTTCCTGAGGCCCCTGGGGGGGCTCAGTCGATGAAGAGGCCAATTCTTGGTTTTGGCTCAGGTCATGATCTCAGGGTCATGAGATCGAGCCCCACATCAGGCTCTGTGCGCAGCGTGGAGTCTGCTCGAGATCCTCTCTCCCTCTGCCCCTCCTCCTGCAGTGCTCGCTCTAAATAAATAAGTAAATAAAATCTTTCAAAAAATCTACTCACCCAGTTCTTCTTTTCAGTTGACTCAGAAGATGGGCAGTCAGGCTTCCACATACCAACCCCCTCCTCCCTAAGTACAAGGTCCGAGTATATCATTTTGGGGAGACTAATCAGCCCCAAATAAAATGCTGTAGGTGCCAACATTTCGGGGTCATCTATTAAAACAGCCAGGTCCCTGCCCAGCAATCCTGCAGTGAAACCCATTGTGTATCATGTCCTTCCACCCAAACACTTAACTTTCAATCAGCATGTTAGTGACTCACTCTTAAGTATGAACCCATAGGGACGCCTATGTGGCTCAGCTGGTTGGGCGGCCGCCTTCCGCTCAGGTCATGATCCCAGCATCCTGGGATCGAGTCCCACATCTTGCTTGGCAGGGAGCCTGCTTCTCCCTCTGCCTCTGCCTGCCATTCTGTCTGCCTGTGGTCGCTCTCTCTCTCTCTTTCTCTCTCTTTGTCTGACAAATAATAATAAAAATCTTAAAAAAAAAATATGAACCCATAGTTAAAGACAACTTCCAGGTATGCTGATACATAAAAAGAAGGGTCATCTCTCCTTTGCCCTCTATGCTTAATGTTTCTTATCTTTTCTGTCCATGACAGAAAAGTAAAGTAAAAAAGAAACGTCATTGGAAAGCCATGAGAATTATTTTTCATTTCAAAAAAGTAAGATTTTCCCTTTTCAACCTTTTCTTTTTTTAGACCTAGTTTCTGCACTTCTTATATTAACTGTAAAGCAACAACGTCAGCAGCAGTTATTCAACAAAGAGGAAGCTGGAAAACACATTGCTTTGTGTAAGTCAATAAACCAAATTTAAAAGAAAAGTTTGGGTCTCTTAAGATTTTATTTTGATATAATCTCTACACCCAGTGTGGGGCTTGAATCACAACCCTGAGATCAAGAGTTGCACATTCCACTGACTGAGCCAGCCAGATAACCCCAAAAGAAAAGGTTTTTTAAGGCTTTAGGATAATAGTTTAAATGTTGATGAAGTAAGTTTTCTCACAGAAGACTTCATAAAAGCCATTTCTCTTTCATAACAGTTTTCCTTTCTAAATACCTGCTCATCTTCATGTTTTTCTCTTTTCTAATCTCTACAGTTAAGCCTTTTTCCAAATCACCTTCTCACCTGGCAGTGTTTGTTCCATTCTCTTTGATTACTTTGTTTTAAATCAGACAGACCCTTTCACACCACTGGCATTTCCAGCTAACCCCTCCTTAGATTACTAGGTTACATTTATATCCCCAGTGTTGTATGTTCTCAGTATTTACAATTTCATTACCCCATTTCTCATAGAACAGTTTCTTTTCTTTCAGCATTGAACACATAGCACATTTGTATTTTTATGTCTTTTAGATGGCACGTCTGGACCTAAAGCCAAGAAATCAAAAGTAGAGAAGCAGGACATTTTCAAAGATGGCCCATCCCAAGGAGTAAACACAGAAGAACTTAAAAAGAGAAAGTCTCTACTGGGAGATACCTGGAAGTCTAGAAAACAGTGTAAGAATCAGCACTTAAACCAGGAGAAGTATCTGGGACAAGATAAAAGTCACCTGTATGGAACCTGCCAAAGAAGGAGATACAGCATCTAAGAATTTGGAAACGTTTTCACTATACAGTCAGTAGTTTCAGAGCAGAGTGATCCTATAGAAGAGTGTTTTCATAAACCTGGTACACATGGAAAAATCTTCAAACAAAACTCAGACTTCATTATACAAAGGAAGTGTGATGGAAAGAAACCTTGCAGATGTGGGAGATGTGGGAAAACCTTCAGAGACCGCACTGCTCTTGTTCAACATGAAAGAACTCACACTGGAGAGTGACCCTATAAATGTAATGTGTGTGGAAAGGGATTTAACCAGAGGTCCCACCTAACAAACAATCAGAAGACTCATACAGGAGAAAGGCCCTACCAGTGCAATGAATGTGGGAAGGCCTTCAGTTACTGCTCCGTCCTTGTTCAACATCAGAGGATTCACAGTGGGAACAGACTGTATGAATGTCCTGAATGTGGCAACACATTCAGTCGTAGCACATACCTAACTTAGCACCAAAGAATTCACGCTGGTAAGAAGCCTTATAAGTGTCTGGAATGTGAAAAGGCTTTTAGCCAGAGCACCCGTCTTACTCTGAATCAGAGAATTCATACTGGAGAGAAGCCTTATGAATGCAGTGAATGTGGTAAAACCTTCAGTCAGAGTGCACATCATACCCAACATCAGAGAATTCATACAGGAGAAAAGCCCTATGAATGTAATGACTGTGGGAAAGCTTGCAGTGACCACTCAGCTCTTATTCGACATCATATCACCCACGCTGGGGAGAAACCTTATGAATGTAATGACTGTGGGAAAGCTTTCAGTTACTGCTCAAACCTCATTCAGCATCGGAGAATGCATACCGGAGAGAAACCATACAAATGTGGTGAATGCGAGAAAGCCTTTAGTGATCGTTCAGCCCTTATTCAGCATCAGAGAACTCACACTGGAGAGAAGCCCTATGAGTGTAGTGAATGTGGAAAAGGCTTTGGAAACTACTCAGCTTGTATTCGACATCGGAAAACTCATACTGGAGAGAAGCCCTATGAGTGTAAGGAATGTGGAAAAACCTTTAGCAGAAGTACATGCCTTACTCAACATCAGAGAAGTCGTACAGGTGATGAACCATATAAATGTAAGGAATGTGGGAAAATTTTCACCCAGAGTTCATTCCTTACACGACACATGAGGGTTCATATGGAAGAAAAACCCTACAAATGTAATGAATGTGAGAAAGTGTTCAGGGATCGCTCAGGGCATATTCAGCACCAGAGAACTCACATTGGAGAGAAGCTGTATGACTGCAGTGATTGTGGGAAAGCTTTCGGTTTCTGTTTGTCTCTTATTCAAAATAAAAGAATTCATACAGGAGGAAGCCCTATAAATGCAAGGACTGCGGAAAAGCCTTTAGTGATAGGTCAACACTTATTCAGCATCAGAGAACGCACACCAGAGAGAAGCCCTATGAATGTAACATGTGGAAAAGGCTTCAGTCAGAGTAGAAACCTTACAAATCACCAGAAAACTCATTCCAGTGAAAAATCCTACACATGCAGTAAATGTGGAAAAGCCTTTAGTTACTGCTCAGGCCTTTTTCGACATCAAATCATTCATACTGGAGAGAAACCTTATGAGTGCAGTAAATGTGGGAGAGCCTTCAGTCAGAGGACAGACCTTAAAAAACATCAGAAAACGCATACCAAAGAGAAACTCCACAAACGTAATGAATGTGGAAAACCCTTCAGCCAGAGCACGTATCTTACAAAACACCAGAAAGTTCATAGTGGAGAAAAAGCAAATATACGTACTGAGTGTAGGAAAACCTTTAGACAAAACTCCTCTATTCAACATGAAAAATCTTGCACTGTAGAGAAATCCTCTGAATGCCTTGAGGGTCTGGTGACTGTGGAGACCCTCCCCAGGGAAACAGGAGGAGGATCATGAAAACTGTTCACTAGAGTGGCCACTTGATTTTAGTGGGAAGAGCACATGTCTGGGGTTTAGAGGTCCTGGGTTCGAATCACAGCTCTGTGACCAACCAGGTCTATTACTTGCTTTAGAGTAAGTCACTTTACCTCTTCTTGCCTTAATTCACTCACCTGAAATATTGGGAGGCCTGATTCATTGATCTTTAAGATCCACCTTTATTTTATTTATTACCAGTGCAGGTTTTTATAGATGTGACTCTCAAATTGTGACTTATTTATTCTGCAACAGGTCTGATTTACAGTGTGAAGATGTAGTAGTCATTAGGAGTTCAGTAAAGATATAGACTACGTGCTATTTATTATCTTTGTATTGGTCCTTCAAGATTAAAGATACCATGAGTACTCAAGGAGATTAAGAGATAAAATAGGGTAAATTATGCTAATTATTGCAGTAGGAAGGTTGGGGTCTTGATTAAGAATATGGTGTCTGATAAATCGTCAAAAAGAACAAATCAAACTGTTGGTAAAGGCTAGGTTACCTAGAAGGCACCCAAATTTAATGTTGCAGTGTAGATCGTCTCTATTAAGTAGAACTGGTCTCTGTCATGTCTCGGGTGAAAAGGAACTAGAAAACAGTTGTAAAGTCTTGAGCAGGTTACCAAGAAAAGATGAAACTGGAAAATGGGTTTGTTTCTATACCTTAAATGTGTAAAGACCATGTGAATGAGAGTAAATCTTGAGATCCCATACATCTAGAAAAGTCTCTTGGTCTCTTGTCTTTGTCCTGTGATTAGAGATAATGGCCTGAAAATATGAAGATTTATCTCAGAAACCTGTGATTTCAAGTCGACCAGTTACTCTTTTCTGAATTTCCTGTGATGCCTCTGCATTGTTTTATAATCACTTACCCCTTTTCAAGCCAGTAGAAATGAAAAAACATCTCTTTCCCAGGAGGGGGGTACCTGGAAATTTTGTGCATTATTTTACTCTCATCCCATTAACCATAAATGGGTCATATGACCTCATGTGCTGGAGTTGGAAGCCTTTTTGAAAAGCATTTGATAACTAAAAAAATTGAAAGGTTTTGGAAAAGGAGTATACTTTAGTGAATTATGCAATGGATTTAAAACCAGGAGTCCAGGGCACCTGGGTGGCTCAGTGGGTTAAAGCCTCTGCCTTCAGCTCAGGTCATGATCTCAGGGGTTCTCTGCTCAGCAGGGAACTTGCTTCCCTTCCTCTCTCTCTGCCTGTCTCTCTGCCTACTTGTGATCTCTGTCTGTCAAATAAATAAATAAAATCTTTTAAAAAAATGTTTAAAAAAAAAATAAAACCAGGAGCCCAAGTGTAAGAGCATGTCATTGAGCTGCTACCTTATGACTTTGCTCGTGTTGCTTTCTCAGCCTGTTCGCATGGACAGCAGACACCACTCGCCCTTTGAGATACATTTCAGCCAGCCGGTTCCCACGCTCTCGCCTGCTTCCCAATACTTTGACCATATGCTGACTTCAGTCGGAATACCCTCCTTCTTTCCCTTCCTAATTCCTGCCTCTCAGGCTCCATGTTATGGTTTGGCACGCACATAGCCTTAGGTGGTGGTGACGATTTGCCTTCATCAGCTGCTTTTAGCACTCATCTCTTTTTTCTTTGAATCTCTGTAGCATTTATTCGCACGGAATTTCGTACTTAGTGTTTCCTCAATGTTCAATAATCGCCTTAAAGGTAAGCTCCACTCCTTGGAGTTTTCTCACTTCGTGGAAGCTAAGCAGAAGGAGAAATAGAGTACATGCTCAGTAAACCTTACTGACCGAGGAAGCGTGCTGTAGTAACAAGACCACGACGAACACAGGTGCTTTATCTTTGCAAGGTGACTCTTCCAACTCTCTGTTTTGTTCCAGCCATGGGTATATAACCACACTTCCTTTTTAGAGTTTATGTATTTAAAATGAATTAAAAATGTATAGTGATTATAGTGATACTGTACAGCAGTCGTATTTTTCTTCTTCATATAGCTATTTTCAAACAGGATATGGTTCCCCACAATAATTTCTAATATCTATACGGAACACCACTATCCTGGGAGTTTTTTAACTTGACATCCTTGATCTTCTCCAGCAACTCGACGCTGGATTTCAGTTTTGGATGCCGGACTTTCACACATAGTTATTCTGGCATTTTCTTCCTTAGCTTGCTTTGGAGATAACTGCTAACTTATTGAATCACTCATTCACTTTGGTCTCTGCTGAATATCAGTTTCCTGTCTCTGTTTACAATAGAAGCTCCATTAGTTTTTATAAACGTAAGATCACTGCTTCCATTTTCTCTTTACCTGAGAGTTTTAATATACTGAGGTTAATTGTTATACATGGTTGATTTTCTTTATGGACCCCTTTGCAGCCAGGTTCGACTCTGTATTCAAAGAGGTTGCTTCCGTGAGGATTATGGGTATCTCTTACAACAGGCCCAGATCAGTAGTTATCCAGACTGTGGACATGAGCAACCCAGGGTTACCTGGGCATGGGAACGCCAAGATGTCAGGAACATAGGCTCTCAATCATGTCACTGCACAATCCTCGAAGCATGTTTCTGTCTGACATCCAGGCATCTTATCCCTTTTCAAGCCAGCAGAAAGGAAAAGACATCTCTTTCCCAGTAGGGTTGTAACTTGGAAGTTTTGGGTATTATTTTATTCTTATCCCGCTGACCATAAATGGGTCATGTGATCTCATGTACTGGAGACAGAGAAGGAATAGTCGTACGTAGTTTGAAAGGGGAGAACGATAATAAACGGCCAGCAGATGTTAGCGTGATTGTGTCCACCATCAGTTATATTGGTTTCGTAAGCTCCTGGGCCATGAATCTGGTCTGGAAGGTGGACTGGCAGGTTAGATGCCCCAGTAGGGTAGCTCAATAACGGGAAGTAGAAAGCTGAGAGCGTAGGCCAGGTACACTCTCCAAAGGTGTGGGCCATGGTCAGCAAGTGTGAGCTTGCCCCCCAACCAAAATGGGGGAATTGAGCTTATTTCTTAATTCATTACCTTCAAGTAGGCCTTTCCTTCAAGTGATGTGCCCCAATATGAGCACAAAGCCAAGCAGGGACATCCCCGAAGCAAACACATCACAAAGGAAATCTAAGTCTGGTTTCAAGCCAGGTGAAGTTTCGTTGCTGTCATGTGCTCATGTGTCCTCCACTCAAAGCTGTCCACGAAACCGGAACGTTCGCTTCAGTCCAGCCTGCCTGGGAGCCAACACAATGATCCCCGTGGAAGAAGAACTGAGAGGTAGCCTAACTCCCTCCGCCACAAGGGATAAATAGGCCATCTCAGATGGGAAGGAGAGGCAGAGATGCAGTCTCACCAAAACCCCAGCTCTGGGGAGCAGACACACACAGAAGGAAGCTCACAGGCCTGGAGTTTCTCCGAGGAGAGAGGGGCTCGTGTCCCACCCCGGGCCCCACACTAGAGCATGGAGGCCCCCAAAACATCTGGCTTTGGAAGCTAAAGGGGCTCTGTCCAGGGCCCCCAGGCTGACTCACTCCTCCTGGAGTTGGCAGGATTCTCAGTGAAGGAGATTCATTTGCTAATCTTAAAGTGTCTGCTGGAGGGACGGGAGCCCGCCAACTTCCTTCAGAGGTGGAGGTGGAGGCGAGCGCCATCTTTGCACGCTCCCTCTGCCTGGCCAGTGTGGACAGACGCACAGCCAGACCCTGTTGCACCAAGGCCGGGTCCCCAGCGCTCTCCATCCCTGAGGCCCCGCCAGCCCCTCGCTCAAAGCTTCCTGGCAGCTTCACTACCGGCAGGGGCCCCAGCACATTCCACACAGGTCAAGTTAACTAAGTAGCCAGAGAAACACTGCGTGATTTCACTTCTCTGTGGCGTCCAAAAAAAAGCAAATGAACAAACAAAACAAAACCCAGACACAGAGAACAGATTGGCAGTTGAGAGAGGGGAGGGGGTTGGAGGACGGGCGAAGGGTGTCAGTTGTATGATGAGGCAAGATAACTAGACTTAGGATCGTGATAACTTTGTATGGTGCAAATATCAAATTATTACACAGTGCACCTGAAACTAATGTTTTCTAAACTACTGTTTTCTAAAATCTAAGCAATTTTACCTCAAAACAAACA